AAGGATACCAACAGGGGGCTGTGATGGATTATATAATTTGTTTCAATATATAAAGATATACTGTCTTCGACAAAGTTGTTGTATTGGGTAGACCAACAAGCCTGTGTTTTTGAATTCAGCTTCAATTGGAAACTATGCCGCTAGAGGCGCTTCGTTCGCACAATTTTGTAGTTTTCTTTTACGAGGTAAGGCTTATGAAGACTATGAAAAAAACTGAAGGCATGATACAGATATCAAACTGACTGATACAACCAAGTACATGAGGTGGGATCCTGATATGAGAAGCGCAAAAAAAAAGAAAACGAGTAAAAACACAATAGGGTGCGGATTAGCATTGAGCGACCTAGTGGCAAGAGTCGATCTTAGTGAATCCATTATTTTTTGAAAATAATCGATTTACCGATTTAATCAAGCATTTTGAATCGATCTTTTCCAATCGATTCATTTTTTAAAATATTTAGTACAAAAATGTTTCAAATATAACGGAAGTTGGTGCAGATTAACGACAAGTTCAGTCTAAAGTTGAACTTACGTTACATAAGCTATCTTGTTATGACATTTCACCAATAATAGTTATTTAGTGTGATGATTGATATCATTTAGAAATAAATTATGTAGTACGTACGCAGTAAAAGTTGTGAGTGTAAATATATAGGTGAAATGGATGTAATGTTGGCCTAAATGCCCCTAATTTGGGTCAATGCATAAATTCAGCAATTGACTAAATTTTCAATAGCGACCAAAATATCCATTAGTACCGACCCAATGACGCGTTCATCTAGATAAAATTCATAAATAGCAGATTTTTAGCGATGGGCCCAATCTTAGATCCATAGGCCAACATTAGAGCCATTTACCCTATATGGCCAACATATATTCTAGGCATCTAAGTACACTGAAGTCTTTTTTTACACGGTTTTTTTTACGCGGTTTTTTTTTACACGGTTTTTTTTACACGGTTTTCCACGATTTACACGGTACGTTTTTAACGATTTCTCGACAACGATACAACCTATCGACTTGATTCCAATCACATTATCCGTTTCAAGCTATTTGTAATCGAATGGCATACTTAAAAAAAAATCACAATTTTTGGTGTAAATACAGAAATTTTTAAAATATGTCTATATGGACCATATCATGCTTTAATTACAAATGGCATCAAAATCCGATTTTTTAAAAACATTTAAGCATACGAAAAATCAAAATCTCGTAGGTTTTTTTTTACACGGTTTTTTTTTACATACACGGACCGTATCCCCCGTGTAAAAAAAGACCTGAGTGTATAACATTTTGTAAATTCGCACATTGTTATTTTTTAGGCATTGTCTGTCTTACACCGATGGTAAACTATTTACGAATCACCTCTATTTGCAAACGTAAAATAAAATTTAATTTATTATTTCAACACACAATCTAGAAGTGAAGGGACCGGATAGTATACAATGTTGTAAGTATTTTACTGTTTATGTAATTTACAACCTTAGGAATTGCACATTGAAATGTACATCACTTCACCGCTAGAAGAATTTCTTATTGTTTTTGTTTAAAAGCTTCCACAATACAGAAAACCTAGCATAAACTAACATTTGATAGCTGCCGTGACAAGGATATTCTGAAAATATCGTTAATTTAAAGTGGAAGCGAAAAAAATAATCTAGTATTCAATAGGGGAATTTACGTATTCTCGTCAGTCTAAGCAGCGTCCGAACTTCTATTAGCGATTTCTCAGCGTCACACACATACATGACAGGTTTGTTTGTTGAAATTTATCTGCTGCTTGCTGTTCTACCAATTCCAATCGACAGAATTGATCAAAACGGGTTGAACATGTTTTTTTAACGCTCCAAACTTCTCAGGTGAGTGTGACTATTGTCGGCAGTCTCTTTTTCTTCGGCACCCTTTCCATTTGAACTGCGTGTTAACCAGCTGTTCTATTATCGGCAACTCGAAATCAGCCGTATTTTGTAGTGTGTATATTTAATTTAAAGAAAAATATGGCATAACAGGATTGCACAGTCGTAAAAATGTAATCAGATTGAAGCTGAAAAGGTAAGGAATCGGCTTAATACATTCAGCGAAGAGTTTTGATGGGAAAATACAGTGAAATTAACGTTTCAATTTCGGTTGCCGAAAACAGTCAATGGGTGCCGAAGCCATAATTTACCCTAGTTAAGTCACCAAACAATCAACTGTCCGTCTTACCCCAAATAGCCCTATCTGTATCTCACGCAGATCACCGTTCCAGTGCATTAAACATTCACGATCATCGATCGTTATCGCTGTACGTTCTACGTTTAGAACCCACCAGCTGCATGGATTGTCGCTGCACTAGCTGATTATTCACTTAGTTGAAATTATGAAGCACTTGACCCCTTCGATATGTCAGACATAAACACGTTCTTGCCCCGCCGGATGCCACTAAAAAAAAACGAACGGCCTCAAGCCTCAACCTGCATGGAACCCGCATGGAACCGGTACATGATCGATTCTTACTCACCTTGGTCGATACAAACATTGGACTGACCAGTTGACACGTTATGCCGAACGGTTCCAGCTCGTACTGCATCGCTAGGGTGAAGTTGTGAATGTAGGCCTAGAGACACGTTCGGGGGAAAAACGAGAAAACCGAGACACGTTAGGACCATGACTAATGACTGTTGGGTTAGCATTGAACTGTTGGATCACACAAACGGGTTGGTTAGATCCTTGGGTCCATTCGGTTGGAAATTATGATCTCACCTTGGATGCCGCATAGGCGGTCATGTATGGCAGTGGTTGTAGTTCGCTTCCCGAGGAGATGTTCACAATCGCTCCCTGGCGACGTTGCTTCATGCCCGGAAGCACTATCCTAGTAAGCATCGTCCCAGCGGCGATGTTGATGTTGATCACATCCCACAGCTTGTCCTCCGGCACCTGGTCCAGATCGTCCGGATATTCCAAATTGGTTCCAACATTGTTCACTAGGTTACAGTAGGGGCAAAGCAGAGACAAATTAGTTCAGTGAGTTGTGAGGCCGGTCGCTTTGATGAAAATTCGCTGACATGGAACAGAAGGAGAGAAACTTAAACGACCACCTTACTTACGTCAGAGATTAGACGGCTTTAGCATTAACCCCGGCAGTGGAGCGGTAAGATGGTTTACACAAAAGCCCCCTGATTGGTTACGATACGATGGGCATTTGAGTGCTGCTGAGTGTTTATTTTATGGTCGGTCTTGGATGGATTTGTTTGCGTCATCCGTTGTGGAGTTTAGGCTAACGCCGGTCGGCGATGGCTGAACCATGAGTTGGCGTAACTGAGTCGAAGTCATAAAGCTTAACACTCTCGTTAGATGACCAAGAGATTAACTAATAAATTTGTTTCACATTTTTCGATTTTATTTTCGAGCTTTTGAGTGCAGTATCTGGTTGCAATAATGGATCGTTCGTAATGCACAACATGCTAGTTACAAAAATTATAATTCTATTTTATTATATTTGTTAGTACAATATTCTTGACAAATGTTCAAGTTTCAAGTTCAATTTTTCAAAGCCTCCATTTTTTTCTCGATTGGTTACTTGGTCATAATTGTTTTGTGATATAAGGGGCTCAGTGGTCTAAATGGTGACCGTTTTACATTACTGAGCATACAATAATGGGTACAACCCCAAGCTGCTTTACAGTGTAGCGATACGAGAGGCGATCTCTAACTAGAATTATTATTTTTATTATTCACCCACCGTGATTAAACGGCAACTTGATCGGGGACTCGTTCAGCAAGAAAATGTTAGTTGTGATGGAATCGTTAACCGTAATACCCGCCTCCCATTAACCCTTCCTGTGATGCTCGTGGAATTGAAGAGGACTTCTCGGCTTTCAATAAAGCACCAACACCAACAATTTTGTACCCTCTCCCAAGTTGACCTGCCTTTGGACGTGGCCTTGTTATCGAGTCACGATGAACATTCCTCCTGTTAAACACGACTTGACTATTGCTTGTTTCGTTCGTCAAGTGCATCACTTCATTTCATTTGAAGCAAAGACTTGTTTCAATTGACGCAATGAATGACTCAAAAACTACTTCCTTCGTTTTTTCTCCACTTTCACTTGAATTCCGGGTTAAACGAAAATTAAATTAACGAAATTAAATTAAGTTCTGAAACGTCTGAAATGCCCTACACGCTACTTGAAAACTACTCAATAATAAGTAGAGTCTAGCCAGTTCGGTCAAAACTGAACCTACCCAAAAATGGGTACACATGCATTTACCCAAATCTGGGTAAACGTACTTGCGACAGAAACTGGGTAACGGTTGCTCAGATGGTGACATTTGATAACTGGGTAAACTTTAAATAAGTAAAGTAGAAATTTATTGATATGACCGCTGCAGCAGCTCTATCAAACATAACCTCACCCGACTATAGCTCATGTCTCGGCTCATATAGCCTGTTAATGATTGTAGAAAAAGTGTATAACTATGGAATACGGCATTGCAATTCCCAAATGAGGATATCATTACAGATATTACGTTCAGAAACTAACAATTAACTTACTAACTATAGCTGCTGATAGCATTCGCTATCTAAACGGCTGTAACATTTTTAGCGTCAGAATTGTTTATTTTGAGCAGTAAACATTTCACTGGCAGCGCCACAATCTCCCTTTCAAACCTGCACCATGTTTAAGTTTGGGAAAAATTCAATTAGATCCATTAACCCAGAATCTGGGTAGATTCTACTCATCAGGACAAAACTATTTTACCCAGATTTTGACAACCCCTTACTGGCTACAAGACTGGGTGCCATCTACCCAGTTACTTAGTAAATTCAAAATAGCGTGTACAATATGGGTATTTTCGGAATGAAGACGACGCGAAGGTGCCGAAAATCAATGTCAGTCGCCATTTTGGAATCCAATATGGCGGACATTGGGCTCAGAAAAAGTGTCAAATACCCTAAGATGAGGGTATTTTCAGAACGTGGACGACGCGTAGATGCCGAAAATTGACATTGGAATCCAAGATGGCAGCCATCGGGTTTCATAAAAATTTTCAAATATCCTACAATATGGGTATTTATCGAACGGGGACAACGCGTAGATGCTGAAAAACGATATCCTACGCCAATTTGCAATCCAATCTGGTGGGCATCGGGTTACAGAGAAAGTGTCAAATACCCTAAGATCTGGGTATTTTCGGAATGAAGACGACGTGTGGGTGCTGAAAACCGATATTCGACGCTATCTTGAATTTCATCGGCATCGGACATCGGTTTCTGGCATTTAGATGTCACCCCGATTTTAAAAATACCTACATTTATCAGATTTTTGACAGTATTTCACACTTTTTCTGACGCAAAGCCGCCATCTTAGATTTTAAAATGGCGTCAAATATCGGTTTCTGGTCTCTTGACTGGGATTTTGAAAATACCCACATTGATACCACATGACACATTCCCCAGAAGACATATTCATCTGATTCTATAAAAAACCATATGTATGGGTATTTGATAGAATTTCCCACTTTTTCTTAAACCGGAAGCCTCCATAATGGATTTCCAAGTAACTTCGGATATCGATTTTCATTCTCTAGACGTCATCCCGATTCGAAAAATACACATATTGAGCGTATTTTACAGTATTTCCCACTTTTCTGAAATGGAGACCACCATCTTGGATTTCAGAATGGCGTCGCATATCTATTTCCAATCTCTAGACGTCAATCCGAGTCCATATTGATGGGTCGGCATCTGTGTTTTCCACTTTTTCTCGAAAATTGGAAGCCACCAGCATGGATTTCAAAATATCGTCGTGTATCGATTTCCGGCCTCTAGATGTCACCCCGATTCCCAAAATACCTATATTGATGGGTAAACAAACCACCCGACAGTGATAAATTTGACATCCACGTGCACAGATCTCAGGCCCCATTTTGAAATCCAAGGTGGTGGCTTCCGGCTACAGAAAAACTAGGAATTACTGCCAAATACCCCACAATGTGGGTATTTTTAGAATTGGGGTGACGTATAGGGAACGCCGTTGAGCTTACAATCAATAATGTGTTATGAAAAAGTGCGTTTCATTTCTATGAGATGACGATGCTTGCCCATAGTTAAAAATAGTAACTACATGAATAGACCCCGAATGTTTGACTCCCGTTTGACAGTTTGCATTGGCTCCCAGTTGTCAAGCATATTTAGTGAGTTCGCAGTAACCAGGAAAAAAGTACCTAATTTGGAGTTCTTTCACCCAGGTTGGCAGTTCCGTGCGCCAACTCAATTTAAAGTTCTAGCGCCTACTCAATTTTGAGTTGTTGTAATTCACTTTCATGTAAACAGGATAACTTACTTTTAAGTTGTTTTCACTTAACGTCAAGTTTAAACTACTCACAATTGAGTTTTACATAACTTAATCAATTTTAACTTGGCGCACGGAACTGTAGAGTTGGGTGAATAAAACCCAATTTTTGGGTTGTTTTGTTCTTTTCGTTTTTGACAACAACAAGAAAGCACGTGGGAGGCATCAACTCAAATTTAAGTTTAAAGAACTTAACCGTTGGGTAGTTTTGGTTATCCGTGTATCGTCTAGATGCTTACGTCAGATGGTGACTTGAGTGCGAAACAATTGGCGTTGACGGCGACTCTGTAGCTCTTTACTCCTATGAGAAAATCCATAAGCAAACGTCAAACTGTGCGTGAAACATGGCGGACTTTGTACTATCCTTTCACTCCACCGAAAATTCCCATAAGAAACTGTCTACATTTGCTGGAAGAGCAAATTTTTCGACAGTGCCGTCAACGCCAATCGATAACACTGTTTCCACACATCGGGGGTACATTGGCAAATCGGTGATGATCCCTTTTGCCAGTAGTGGCGGGGGGCACCCCTCACCATCCCTCATCAACAGATGAGTTTGCTCTACTCGATTCGTACCTTCCTCAAAATTTTCTTTTGATTGCTTTCTAGTTTCTATATACAATCAAGTATCAAGTCTATACTTTCATCTCCTCATCTGCCGGGGCCGGTGGTGTAGTGGTAAGCGTGACTGCTTCCTCACCCCAATGGGTCCAGGTTCAATCCCAGCCGAGGTCAGTAGGATTTTTCTGAGGCATAAACATCTCTGGTCCTTCGGAAGGGAAGTAAAGCCGTTGGTCCCGACCCATGTATTGTATTTGAATGGGTGCTATATCCTACGCAGGTGTGGAAGCTGCCTTCCTGCACATTCGATTCAATGAGATATACATACAGGAGTGGCACATGATAGTGTTTGTTTGTGTTTGAGAGCAATACCATAGAGGTAACTCTAAGACTAGAAGGTCCCGAAATAACGTGCTCAACTTTTTGGCTCAGCTCTGGTACTCTCTTCGGTCCCAAGCTAATCGATTCACCCCTCGAACCATAGGAAAAACCAATAGCCCCTCATTTTATCTGTCAAACTTTCATAGCGAATCAAAACAAACATTGTGTAGTAGTAGAATTTTGACTAGAATGGGGTACGTTAATCATTTGCTTGGGACCAATAGGCTAGTCAAGTGGTGAGCCAATTTAGAATCGTTAGTTTCGTATTGATTGTTGGCAATACTACGAAACATTTTCGGAGATTAAAAGTGGCGACGACACAATAACCAACTCTCCGAACAAAAATCGTGATTGTGACGTCGCAACTTTATTGTCTCCGGTGCCTGAAGCTTTGGGTACACGAGACCACACTACCACCCATAAAGTTTGCCCCGCTTACTAATACATTCGTAAGAGGCACTGCCTCACCTATAGGTAAAGCACATAGCATTCGATTGCCGTCAATGGATGGCAATCGATGTCCGCCGGTTATTGGCACTAGCTTGCGGAACAGAAACCGACGTTAAATAAATGAAAGAAGAAGAAGAAGAAGAAGATCTCCCCATCTATCGTATAAAGTTTAATAGTACGTTCAGACTACAGAGTTATAACATGTTATAGCGCTATCTTGATGGTGGTTTCCGTGTTGCAATTATTTGACAACCGTTATAACATGTTATAACTCTCCAGTCTGGACAGCGTTTAAGACTAGTAGGTCCCGAAGAAACGTGCTCAACTTTTTGGCTCAGCTCTGGTACTATATTCGGTCCCAAGCTAATCGATGCACCCCTCGAAACATAGGAAAATCCACGAACCCCTCATGTTATCTGTCAAACTTTCATAGCGAATCAAAACAAATATAGTGTAGTACTAAAATTTTGACTAGAATGGGGTACGTTAATCGCTTTGCTTGGGACCAATAGGCTAGTCAAATAGTGAGCCAATTTAAAATCGTTAGTTTCCACCGGTTGACTCTCCAGTCTGAACAAGGCATAAGTCTGATATTTGACGTTAAGCATTTCCAACTATGTTAATCGATAAATTCAGGCATAACGTAATTAAAACATCATTAGTTAAAGTAAGTAAATTAAGTAATCTCACCCAACACAGCTTCCAAATAAATGCTGTTTATGATTGGATTTTGGGGAACAGCTAAAAATTGCATGTTTCAACATATGTACAAAATTGTAAATTTAGAGCGTTAAACGCTGTCCAGACTGGAAAGTTATAACTTGTTATAACGGTTGTCAAATAATTGCAATACAGAAACCACCATCAAGATAGCGCTATAACAAGTTATAACTCTGTAGTCTGAACGTACTATTTTTTTTTTTTCCTTTGGTTTGTTTTTTCCGTCGATCTTGTTTTCCGTGCTGAGCACCAATGCTACCGACGTGCCAGGAAGGCAGCTCCCACACCTGGACCCTACCTATCGACCCATCAACTCATGAACCGGGGACCAACGGCTTTACTTCCCATCCGAAGGAAGGCGTGATCAGAGATGTTATGCCTCAGAACATCCCGGCGGCGCCGACTGGGATTGAACCCAGGCCTGCTGGGGTGAGAGGTAAGCTGAACGTACTATTAGAATGAAATATTAAACAAATTAGCTCATAACAATATCATAAAAGAGGATTGTTGAGAATAGAAAATCTAACGATATTATGATCGACTTCACCGCAATGATGAACTTCATCCCGTTTTACAACATTTGTTTATTAGGGCAACATTACGAAATTTCATGCGCACATAGGGGATCGTTACCCAAGTAACAATTCCGGTTTTATAACGGTTCTGTAGACCACGATTTAGACTTGAAGAATTCTTTAAAACCTTGATATAACTTACACTTTCAAAGTGTTTTTATGTTACTTCATACGTGAAGTAAGCGATTTTCAGAGTTGGTTGGAAATGCTATATAACATGAAGCTTTAGCGTGATAATTTATTAGCTATAGAATGGTTTTAAGGAGAGGGTAGATAGATAGTTCCGCGTTCCGCTAGAGTACGGCAGTATGAAAATTGAATAGCAGGTGAAAATGAGCGGAGGGCCATTAATGCGACAGTACAAAGTCAAACGCACACCTTTTGCCTAACCCGTACGATGTACGCGGAGATTTGATGTATGTTTTCGAATCTACAGGCAAAACACTTTGAATGTAACAACTCAAGGCGGGAGTAGGCTTCAACAATGCTGATGATGGTACAGCACGCAACAACTACCCTACTGCTTTCTCTCTGAGATGTCCACGTTGGTTATGACGAGAGGAGCAGCACAATAGTTGGGTAATACGCTGTCCATACTGGAGAGTTATAACATGTTATAAGCCTATATTGGTGACATTTTTCTTGTCGATAATTATTATAACATGTTATAACTCTGTAGTCTGAACGTACTATAAAGAAGAATTGCATTATAACACACCATCGACTGGAAATGCTTTCGGCAATGTAGGGCTTTAGGTAGTGATGAAACTTCGCTAGAACTATTCCACAGCCGCAGACAGTAATGTGCAAAGGCGGGCGCACATTTTTTGCCTGTAGATTTGAAGACATACTTCAAATCTCCGCGTACATCGTACGGGTTAGGCAAATGGTGTGCGTTTGGCTTTGTACTGTCGCATTAATGGCTTTTCGCTCATTTTCAACTTCTATTCAATTTTCATACTGCCGTACTCTAGCGGAACTATCTATCTACCCTCTCCTAAAGACCATTCTCTAGCTAATAAATAATCACACTAAAGCTTCATGTTAGATAGCATTTCCAACCTAACTAACACTGTTACTTGGATAGTTTAATGACCTTTCCAAGGTGGATTGCAATAAACACAAGTTTGAGAACGAATCTGCCCATAGCTGTCCCATGTTCTATGAAATATCCAATGGGACAGTTCTTAACGGGCTTAAATTACCAGCACACACCATCTGAAAACCATGTTAGTAGGGCACATTGCACCGCTCTCTTCGCACCTAGGTGTAAACTGATTATGAAAAGCTTCACAGATAGTAAAATAACACTTGGGTTGTTGTTGTTTGGTAAATGAAAGCTTGGACCTGGAAATTTAATCCCAAAAGCTGAGTTGTAGTTTTGAACACATAGCTTCAAAACAAACAACAAACATCGAATTTAGTTACCTAACTTGGTTAATCTATTCTTCTTATTTTCCGATGCAACCGAAACTTTGAGTCAGTTGTTAACTGAGAGCTTTCGCAATCTGCATCATTTTCGAATTTGTTTTGTATATTGATGCCGCATAATCGCACTTCATGATCAGGGAAGTCGTACACTGACTAGACTAATAGGAGCAATCATCAATTGCGTGATTTGTAACATTAAATTGTACGTTTTAAGAGATCCCTCATTCACACTTTCCTTCATCGCATAGCAATGATTCGATCCGAAGCTCGACCATGTGTTATTGCAACGTAATGCTTGTTGCAAACGTAACATTTGAAATTCAAATTTATCACCACACGGTTGGTCAGCTAGTATAAAAATCGGTTTCAATAAGAACAACATAGTCTGCTTTAGAATGTCATCCAATCCATTGAATTCCACTGATATATATATATTCACGCGAAACCGGTTGCCCGCCAAACAAGTTATCGATATCGTCCCCGGATTGGAGTGGAAAATTTGTGTCACTATAGGCGTCATTCGTATCACTCACCCAATATCCCCACCGGGATGCCTTCCAACTCTTGGCGGAGTTTGTCGTAGATCGGTCGACCTTGACTGAAATCGGCCGCTATCCATTTGGTTTTGACCTGGTGCTTCTGTTCGATCTCGCTCGCAACGGCCATTAGCTTCTCAACTGTCCGTGAGATGAGCACGATGTTTAGTCCTCGGGCAGCCAGTTGGATGGCGTACTGCCGGCCGATGCCATCGGTGCTACCGGTAATTACTGGTAGTCGGCCCGTGCGTGTTAGAGTGTGTTTTTGGTCGGATGCCATCGTCGATGTAAACATACAATAGAAGAAGCAACACGGTAATTCATTAATGGAAGTGTGCGGGAAATGCAGGCCAATCGTTTCGGTTGACTGAAGGATCTTTTCCGTCAAGTCAGCCGACTGTGCTTACCGGCCCATTTCCCGAACCGTTCCATGAGGGTTTTATTCTCCGCTGGAACAAAGTACGGTGTCAATACGGCAATCACTAGCTGCACGAGTGATTTCAGATTGTCGTACAACCAGCAGCTGAATGCCCACAGGCCCAGCAGCACTGGACCCACCAGGACCCAAGCAGGCACCATTCCTTAGCACTGCACTTATCTTCGGAAGCATGTGCTGCGTGGAGCAGCTGCAACAAACTAGGCACACTCAAATACCACTACCACACTTCTAAGCCGAGTCAATGCCAGCGAGTTACTGGTTTTACCGCACTCCCTCACACGTGCTCAGCTCGCTCAGCTTGAACGACGGAACACTAAATATTCACGGCGCGCACGCGACCTGAACTCTGTGACTTGAACTCGAATCGAACAGAGAGCACTACACAATCGAACGATGTTACTTCGGCGAGACACGGCGAAACACTAAACTTCGATGCAGCCATACGACCTGCTGCAACTGTTGAGAGAATGAGATGTTAGGGCTTCAGGAGGGTGAGCAAGCAGCCTCCAACTCCTTGGAGGAGTAACGCGAAACCGACGACTAGCTACTAAACCTCAAACTGGTTTCCCGAGAAGACGCTATGTTTAGTTTAGTGCTCAACATTCGCGAGGAAGGCTATCCGACTACTCATCTCTGTTGACTCGTCGAGCAGCAGCGGCATCACTCCGACAGCACGACGCTCGGACGGACAACGGTGGGATGTTTTTGTTTCGTTCTTCGTTGCTGTTTGTTACGTGTGTACGAGATATGCAAGCTTAGCTGTGTGGTTTGTGGCTGAAAGTGAAAGTTCTCAAAATTGGTTGCTGCTTGGTTACTTTGGAGGAACGGCCCACTTTGTAGATCACCACCGGGAGAAGTGTTTGTCACCAACAAACTTTGAGTTTGAACCAACAATATGTTTGCTCAACACAATCACTGCTGCCGGGCTGCCGAGTAGTCGCGTTTGAAGGTTTGAACCATTTTGACGTCGCTATGTTTGATGCCATGTTCGCGTGTATGTCATAAAATTGTTATGTAAATGCTACCGAGCTGCGGTGCGTTTGGAGATTGCGCTTTGCTTCGACTATGGATTTGTCAAGCTGGAAATGTGGGGGTCATTCAATGGTTGGTGAAATGTGTTAGCAGAGGAATACTCGGTTGAAGGAAAGTATTTACAGATTAAAAAGGTTTGCTTTAGCTGTCGTTGAATCGATTGCAGTGGCACCCCTCGTACTGGCGGTCACGTTATCTGCAGGTCAGCATTAACCACTATCACAGTTGAAGTTCGTTGGCTTGGTTATTACATTTCAACTGAAACTTTGCGTCTTCCTCAATTTAATATTTTTTGATCACCAACTGTAAGGTAATTGAGATAATATTTTCTCTGAGAAGTTGGAAAATTTTCGAGCTAGAAAATCGGAGTAATAATAGAATCAGGTGCGATAAAACGGGTTTGTACCTCCATCATAATAATGTTGAGAACTTTTGCCGAAGACGCTAAGTTTCTAAAGATATAATGAACCGAAGGAAATGGATTCTGTACTCTTTGACCTTCAGATGTCACTACAGTTGATCGTGGCGACATCCGTCGGAACTTATGCATACACTGCTAACAGGATTTCCGCCGTTTTTATCAAAAAAAGTATCTTTTGAGCAGAGTATGCAAAAAAGGTGGGACTTCAGATGTTAATCTAAATGCCTATATAGAGGTGCCATATCACTCGTAAGTTGTTCATCGAACATGCATTTAACGATCAATTTAAATGTTTCTTAGTTGTCAGTTCCGCTACCATTGCCAGTTGCATAGACAACTGCCTTGCGTTTGAAGTTTACACACTTTTACCATCTGTTAAGCATACTGCCCATAAACGTGTACTCAAAAGATGGCGGTAGTGTTTTAGCGACGATTTTTTACAGTGAGAACTAGAAACTCAAATAAAAAATTGGCCCGTCAATATGAATGAAGTTTCGTTCAAATTAACGGGATCCACGGTACTTCACTTAACACTACTGATCGTACTAATTTCACTCCATACTTATTACACATTTTGGAATCCAAGATGGCGGCCATCGGTTTTCAGAAGAAAAAAAAGTGTCAAATACCCTACAATATGGATATTTTCGGAACGGGGACGACTTCTAACATCAATTTTTCGGCATCTACGTGTCTTCCCCGTTCTGAAAATACCCACATTTAAGGGTATTTGACACTTTTCCTGAAATCGGAAGCCGCCGTATTAAATTTCAAAACGGCGTCGGATATCGATTTCCGGCTTCTCGACCTTACCCTGATTCAAAAAAAAAAAAAAACAGTTTATATGGTGTGTGTATCATAGAATTCAGAGACGAACCAGCCAACGGCTGAAAGTCTCTATAATAAAGAAATCAATCAATTAATCATAGAATTTCCCACTTTCTCTTAAACTGGAAGCTGCCATCACGGATGGCGTCGGTTATCGAATTAAGGTCTGTAGACGTCATCCAGATCCCAAAATTACATATAAATTGTAAGTCGTCATCTTGTATTTCTTAATAGACCGGCTGCATCCCGATTCCAAAAATACCAATATTGATGTGTATTTGACAGTATTGCTCACTTTTTCTAAAATTGGAACCCGCCATCTTGGATTTCAAAACGGCGTCAGGTATCGATTTAAGGCCTCTATCCCGGCCTCTATACGTTTTCCCGATTCGAAAAATACCTACCGAATGCGTGATAATATTTGCACCATCTTACAAATAAGGTTCCCGTTTCACCTGTGCATACAATTCCTTGGTTTTCTTTGCATGCACGTAACCTATAGCTCATACCGTAGTAGGCTGTGTAGAAAAGAAAATGATTTACTTAGTTTGACAGTTGCACCATGACGCAGTGGCAGCGTATTCGTGATTTGTCCCACGTGCAAATGTAGCAAAAAGACATTTCAATCGCCGTGGGAGTGTCCCGGTGGACCGTCAAAAGGGTTTTAGACCGAGAAAAGAAAGGAAAACTATCCGCGAAGGTGGCCACAGGTCGTCCGAGGTCAGCTCGGGTTCCGAGGGTTATCGCTGCTATCAAAAGGAAGATTCGGGTGAATCCAGTGCGTTCAATAAGGAAAATGGCAAAGGAACACGGGATCAGTGACTTTACTGCACGGAAGATCGTAAAGGAAGATTGTGGGGCGAAGTCGAGGGCACGGAAAAAAACTCACATGATTATCAACCGCATCCGGGAGCTACGAGTCGAACGATGCAAGAAAATCTTGAACTTCCTTAAGCGAAATCATCAGGTAATCTTGTTCACGGACGAGAGCATGTTTACCGTCGATCCCGTATCAAATTTCAGAACCGACCGGTATATTAGTTCTCTTCCGGTAAAAAACGTGGCCGACGAGCACAAGAACGTGTATCTAACCAAGCATCCTGCTAGTGTTATGGTGTTTGGATTGGTGGCTTCCGATGGCAAAAAATGGACCCGGTGTTCATTCCAGAAGGCGACAAGGTCAACATGGAGGTCTACATCGGGATTTTAAGTAAGTATGTTCTTCCGTCGATCAAAGAACAGTACGCTCCGAAGCCATATGTTGTATTTCAACAAGATGGGGTTCCGTGCCACACCTCGAACCGCACTCAGAAGTGGTTGCAGGAACATCTTCCGTTCTGGGCGAAGGATATGTGGCCGCCATCCAGCCCCGATCTTAATCCGCTGGATTACTCAATATGGCGCGTCATGAAGGCCAATGCCTGTTCTAAACGGCACCCGAGTACAGCAAGCCTCAGACAAACATTGACCCGTACATGGAGAGAAATGGATCCAGACTACATTATTAGAACCTGCCGTGCATTCTGGAAGCGTGTGGAGGCCGTAATTGCAGAAAGTGGAAACTCGATAGTTGAATAACATAGTTTAAGACTCTGAGAAACATCCCCCCTTTGAGTAAATAAAAAAAACTCGAAAACGAAATTTTTGGGAATTCTTTTAATTTTGACATTGCTCAATGGTGCAAACATTATCACATTATTTGACAGAATTTCACACTTTTTTTTTTCTGAAATCGGAAGCCGCCATCTTGGATTTCAAAATGGCGGTTAATATCGATTTTCAGCCTCTAGGCATGTTCCCGATTCCAAAAATTCCTATATTGATCGGTGTTTGCCAGTATTTCTTACTTTTATTAATCTGGAAGCCACCACCTTGGATTTGAAATGGCATCGGATATTGATTTCTGGCGTCTCGATTTGAAAAAAAAACCCACATTGATGGGTATTTGACAGTATTCCTCCCTTTTCTGAAATCAGAAGCCGCGATCTTGGATTTAAAAATGGCACCCGATATTGATTTTCAGCCTCTAGGCGGCTTCCCGATTCTAAACATACCTATTTTAATGGGTATTTGACAGTATTTCCCACTTTTTTTTAAACCTGAAGCCTCCATCACGCATCAATTTTCGGCCTCTAGACGACATCCAGATTAAAAAAAACACCTATATTGATGGGTATTTGACCTACCCCTGCCTTTTCTGAAATCGGAAGCTACCATCTTGGATTTCAAAATAGAGTCGGTCATCGATTTCCGGCCTCTATACGTCATCCCGATTGCAAAAATTTCTATCTTGATGGGTATTTTACAGTATTTCCCACATTTTCTGATATCGGAAGCCACCATCTTGGATTGAAAAATGGTGTCGGATATCGATTTTCATTCTCCAGAAATCATCCCGATTTCAAAAATAGTTATATTAAAATGTATTTGAAAGTATTTCTCCCTTTTTCTTTAACTGGAAGCTGACATATTGGATTTAAAAATGGCATCGGTTATCGATTTCCGGCCTCTAGGTGTCACCCCGATTCCAAAAATACCAATATTGAAGGGTATTTGAAAGTATTTTCTTCGTTTTCTGAAATCGGAAGCCGTCATCTTGGATTTCAATATAGCGTCGGACATCGATTTCTAGTCTCTAGATGTCATCCGGATTCCAAAAAAAACTTATATTGATGGTATTTGCCAGTATTTTCCAATTTTTTTCTGAAATTGGAATCCGCCATCTTGGATTTGAAAATGGTATCGGATATTGATTTCCAGCCCCTAGACATCATATCGATTCTAGAAATACACATATTGATGAGTATTTGACAGTATTTCCAACAATCAATACGAAACTAACGATTTTAAATTGGCTCACCACTTTAGTAGCCTATTGGTCCCAAGCAAACGATTAACGTACCCTATTCTAGTTGAAATTCTATTACTACACTATGTTTGTTTTGATTCGCTATGAAAGTTTGACATATAACATCAGGGGTGTGTGGATTCATGTAGAACATGCAGGGGTGAGTGAAATAGTTTGGGACTGCTTGGGACCGTTGTTCTGGTACTGAGTGAGCCAAAAATAATAATGATTTTCTTCGGGACCGAGTGGTCTTAGAGTTACCTCTATGGTATTTCCCACTTTTTCTGAAATCGGAAGCCATC